CTAAGTAAGTTTTTTCCTCATTGTATCTTCAGTTCAAAACACTAGTATTATTGGTAATACGGTCTATATCTTGTCTGATCTGGATGATGTGGTCCCGGAAGTGGGGTTTGAGAAGGCGGACCCTGCATTCTTGGAGGAGGTGGTGGCCCTCTTGGTGCAGGCCATATACCAGGACTCATTCTCCCTGGTTGTGTAAATGGAGGGCTGAGAGTTCCTTGATCTTCAGTAAACTGGGGTAAAGAGTTAGGATTGTAATGGTGAGGAGGGGGTGCAGTTACAGGTGGACCACCATGTTGAGGTGGGGGAGGTCCTGGAGGAGGATGATTCATATAAGGTGGCATCTGGGCAATAATATGTCCAGGGGGAGGGGTTATTGGTGGTGGAGCAGAGGTCATTGGTGGAGGTGGAGCTTGGCTATATACCAAATGAGGAGTACCTGCAGCCTGGGGAGGATGTGGCATTGGATGGCTTATTGGAGGTGGAGGAGGTGGGGGTGGTGCATAATGTTGCTGTGGAGGCATAATATGATGAGGGTGCGAAACCACTGGTTGACCCTGATATTCAGGGTGGTGGTGAGCAGGTGCTGGGGCAGGAGGTGGTGGTTCTCTAGCACCTGAATTTGAGTCATCCTGAATAGGGACAGTTATTATATTGCTGTGTTTTCTTGTTGAAATACGAAAGGTTTCCTGACTGACCGACCGAGGAGGTGGTGGAGCCATGGACAATTCTGCTGGCGGAGCACGGATATCCTCATGTGGCTGATTATAGTGCTCATGTGGCACATGCTGCAAAGGAGGTGGTGGCATCATGATGTGCTGCTTTGGCGGAACATGGCTCATATGGTGCTTGTCTGGTGGCATTATAAAGCGCTCGGGGATTTCAGCTGGTGGGGGGGCGATAGGAGGATGAACATTTTCAAGCGAAGCACGGGTAACGGGTTTTCCAGCTCGCATGTGGCGATGGTTGATATGAGCCTGCAAGTCTCTCTGAGACAAATACGTTCTCTTGCACCCTTGAACAATGCTACACATGAAGAGAGAACCTCGTGTACACTGTTCAATTCGCTGCACAGGATCACTACAACCTGGACACATCTTATCTCCTTTTTTTTCATGTAAAATAGCACAATCATAACAAAAAACATGTTTGCATGGAATCATTCACCCATAGATTTTAATAGGCAGTCCACATTTGTCACAGAAATGAACTGGTGTATCATCCTTTTCACCTAAGATGTTTATCTTAAAGTCCCAAAATAGATGTCCAGGAAACCTTCGCTGATTTCCAAACAGTTCACCCCCTTTACAGTCATATCGTTCTTCTTCATTATAATTAAATCCTTCTTCCTCACCAGTTGGTGCCTTTGCGGGCATCCTGTTTACAGTCCTTTGAGTTCGAGGTGCAGGTTTGGCTTTGTTTGCTTGCTTGGAGATAAGTTTTATAGGAATTCGTCTGCGAACATCAAGACCACCCAACGATCCAGAACTATTAGTGCCTTGTAACTCATTGTCAGTATGATCCATGATTCCTAGGCCAATGATTTTTAACTTAGATTTTTCAGAGTCCCTATAAGAGATCTTGAAAGAGAAGTGCAGTGACCAAGAGTTGAAGTTCAGGTGCTCTTCCTTTACAGGTTATGAAAGCCAGTTTTGTTTTATTCTTTTAAATGTTAAGATTCCTTGTAAGATATTTTTTTTTTCTGTATTTAAGACAAGGTCTACAGGGTCTCACTATGTAGATGGGACTCTAGCGATTCTCCTGTTTTCAGCCTCCCAAGTGCTTGGATTACAGGCTTGTACTGCCACTTCCAGTCTCAAGGGCCGTTTCAGTGTGCCTCGTGGGCGGGTCCAGCAAGGCACACCCAGGATCGAACCCCAGCTGCTGCGCTCTGCCTAAGCAGGTGCTTTAGTCCCCTGAGCTATCAGGCCGGCCCTCCCTTGTAAGATTTTTAAACCTCTGTAAACAACAGTTGTTCAAGACAGCGGGTAGGACTTATGTAATGTTGGCATCCATTATTTGTATTGATGTTAGACTTGGAGGAAGAACTCAATCTATTTGTGCTATGATACACACCAAGGGCAGGCTGACCCTTCACAGCAACCATGCAGAAATTCCTTTATGCCATATGATTGCAAGTTATAGGATGTTGAGGTGTCTGCTGTCAGGTGTATACAAGGGTCAAATATCATACTTGGATCTTCAGAGGGGGGAATGTTGAAGGCAGCTGAGTTAGATAGAAATATTATAGGAAGTCAGACAGGGCTAGGCCCTTGAAGGAAATAACACAGAAGATGTTACCTTACAACTGTGGGAGGGATGGATGCTCCCACTGTGGGCCAGACCTAAAGACCAAAGGGCAAACAAATGCCAACTTCCCTAAAGATTGGCATGCAAGATTGATCATCACCCTGAGGGAGCCAGAAGAATCATAAATCTGACTGCTCTTGGATGGCTACCTGAAGAAGTCTTGTTCTACTTTCATGTCCACTTGCTACGTGACTTGCTTCCCAATTTGGTCCTGGATTTAATCAATTTTACTTGAGCAATGGTTCTTGTAATCTCATTGGTTGACTATAGTTTGCCCCACGTCATGCCCATCTAAGCGAGTTCCCATGTCTTTTCCACCACCTTAGACCTGCCTCACCAAATGGTTTTCCTCTATGAGAGTCCCTGGAAGAGACAGCTTCCTGGGGAAAACCTGCTCGGGCCCCTCTCCTGCCCTCTCTTGGACAGGAGCTTTCTTTTCCTCAATAAATATATTCTGCTCATAACTTCCATTTGTTCCTAAAATTCATTCTTCAGTTTTAGAGAACAAGAACTCATCCAGGTCAGGTTGGGAGATCATTTCCCCCCATATCATTTGGAAGTCACCCACCCCAAGGTTTTTCTCCCTGTACTACCTTCAAGTGTATACAAGGGTTACCTGTCATACTTGGATTTTTCTAGTCATTTGTGATGATGCACAACTGTTTTCTCAGTGGGATATAAATGCTTACATTTTTGGAAGCACACTACAGACTGCTTTAGAGAGGCAGAATTTTTATTTAAACAAGATCTGATAAAGGTATCATTAAGACATTGATAAAATCATCTTCCAGTTAAAATAAGGCAGTAAAATTTGCCTCTTTCTTTCCTATAGAATTTAAAGACCCTAAAAATCCATATCCACAGGTTATACATAGCGCATTCTAGTTCTAACGGCATATTAGAAAATAAAATTGATAGGCCATGAAGACTACATGTGACACAGTAAGAGAGAGAGAGAGACAGAGAGGAGAGAGAGAAGAGAGGAGAGAAGAGAGAGGAGAGAGAGAATCATCCAGGGCCTTCTGGACCTTCTGCCTTGTGTATGTCAATGGGAAACAGTGAACTTTTAACTAAAAAAATACACAGCAGAACAAGGAGCATAAAAAAGAAGATAATGAGATTCACTCTGAGGCAAGTCAAACTAGAAACAAACAAGCCTTGCCTGGAATGCAGCTAGATAAACAAGTCTGCTAATGAGCAGAGATCCTGGAAGGGCTGTCTGTCCTGGAGCCATCAAGATGGCATCAGTAAACATTAGCAAAGCAAATGAAATTACTGAGTCAAAACTTTTAAATGAGAATAGAAAGAAAAGATTGGTATGTTGGGTCCCCCAAACTAAAGGAGAACAGGAAAGGAAGCCAATAAAGAAAATCGCGAAATAAATATTAGAGAAATAATAAACCATGGGAAAGTACTTATCACCCAATGCACAGGACAAGAGAGTTTCAATAATAAAGGAATGGATGTCAATACTTCAAGGATCCCACAAATCCATCTTTTACTTTTCTACTGTAAATTTTTACTTATTTCAGTAGTGGCTGACTGTGTCTCTCAGAGAATTTCCCTGAGGGATAAAGGAAGCAATCTTTGTGTTTAAACACTTGGCATTATGAAAAGCAAGGTGTGTACACATGTGTCAAAATGTCACACCAGAATTTGTCCTCGTGCGATGCTCTGTAGAAGTTTTTGCTTCTGCTTCCTTGCGCATCACAGAGGTTATAAAACACCCACATCGCTCCAGGATTTGACTTTTTCTTTAATTTCATTTTAGATTTTTCTGGTAGAAGTAGTTAAATTCAGTACAAGAGCACATGAGAAACCAGCTTTGCAAGTTTTGGAGGAGATCAAAAGGGAATCATCAGGTTATTCATGCATAGATGATGAAAATGATCTGTTATGGTAAAAAGCATGCTTGCACAGCAGCAGAGTGGTGTGGGTGATGGTGGTGACTGTGACTTTGACGTTGGCCATGTGATCCAATACTCCTGTGACAGTGAATGGAGCAAGAATCCACTGATCAGACACAGGGAATACAGATCTCCTCAAGCCAGATGCTGAAGAAAACAACAATGTGGCACACACCTGACTTGAACTCAAAATGTTGCAAAAGGGTCACCAAACAAAATGGAACTACAGGTGTGAGAACTGGGTCTGAAAAATGTAGTGAAGTCTTGGCAGAATGGACAGAATACCAATCATGGCCTTGTAGCAGATAAAATGCTATAATGTACTTTGAAATACACAAAGGCTGAGATACAAGTAAAATGTTCTGTATGCACTGATAGCCATAACATGTAAATCTATTTAAAAACATTTTAAATATACTTAAAATACATTTATTATGATGCTGTTATGGTTTGTGCCTAGATGTTCCCTCAAATCCTCACGTAATCACTGGGGTGGACTTCTAGAGCTTATGATTAATTCATAATCCAATGCTGCAATTATGGGTGTGAGTGCTACACCCACCCTGGGGTGGATAGCCTGAATGTAATATAAGGAAGGGAGATAGGCTTGCTCTCTGCTGTTGCTCCTCCCTTTTGCTCTTGCTGCTTTTGCTTCTTTCTGCTGCCATGAACTGCTCCACTCTTTTTTTTATGTATTTGGTATAGGGTCTCACTATGCAGCTTGGACTCATAGCAATCCTCCTGTCTTCAGCCTGGCCAGTCCTGGGATTACAGGCATGTGTCACCATAACTAGTTTCGGTGGTTGGTTCAACATACCTGGGGCAGGGCCAGCACAGCATGTGGTTCCAGGGATTGAACCCAAGTCCCTGCACTTGCCTAAGCAGGCACTTAGTGCACTGAGCTCTCTTACTCTGTTGCCCTTTTTCATATGCCACTTTGCCTTAGGAGCCAGCCAAGTATGGACTGAAATCTTAACAATCTGTGAATTAAATGAGCCTTTCCTTTCTTAATGTGGGATGTTGGGTATTTGCCCCAGCAATGAGAGAAAAATAAGACACCTCACTATCTCAACTGAAAGTATTCATAGTACACAGCTGATGTAAAAATATTGATGTCTATTCTAAATACCGATTACATATTTGATGTCCTGTTTTATTGATATTTCGTGGGGACTTGCGGGCAGCATCACCCCTGTATCTGTGCTCTTTGTAACATGACTTCAGTGATCCTTCATTTAAGACATGGAATCTATTTCCAGATCTTGTTCATGGGCTGGCTCCTTGACTTCCTTTGCATAACTGATTGTGCAATGGGAAGGATGCCTGCTGTGAGCTTAGTTTTCTGGTGGCCTTGTTTTTCTTAGAACCCTGCCATGACCTGAGAAAAATGTCCAGAAGACTTGTTGTAAAATGTCCAATCACATAGAGAATAGCCAGTTAACAGGGGTGCCACCTGGAAACATTAAAGAGAACTCAACCAGTGTCAGCAAATTCGCCTTCCCACTGTAGTGCTGACCACAGATATACAAGTGATTCCAAATGATACCAGAAAGCCTAGGAGCTGACCTTTACACTGTGCACATCATAGAATGGTGGTTATTTTAAGCCACTGTGCTTTCCTGTGGCTGTTAGACAGCAATAGCTAATTGATGTAGTGGTCTGTCTCACATTTCATCAGTTCCATGAAGCCACAAATGCTGGTGCTTGGATAAATCTTGCTGGGGGAAAAAAAGAAAAATAGTGCTTTTCTTGTGGATAAATCACTGGCCTGAGATGAGGTGACAGTGCAAGAGGACCTAAGTCATGCTAGGCTTGGTAAGCATTGTTCAGAATTTTAAAATTTATAACTCACAAAGGTAACACATTTTTTTTTTCTTATTTGGTTAAAAAATAGGCAAATAAATAGAAAACAAAAGCAACAGTAAACTTGTTGTGAGAATAAAAAAAGTTGTGGCATCTTGGAACCTCACATGAATGCCATGAACAACCTCCATCTCTTCTAGGTTAGCCCCCTCCATGGAAAGGGCACAGCAGCAGTACTCAGCCCCGCCTCCCTGGCTGCTGGCTGCTTCAAGTATGGGTTTGGAGCAGCTTAGAATAAAAACGTTGCAATGTGCACACGGAGCACCTCCCCTTCTTTCTCGGGTGGCCATGTGGGGCAGAGGCCCTTAAGATGCCTAAGCTTCCTTCTGGGCAGCCCCACCCCAGTACCACCTGCTTCAGCCCTGAAGGTACTTCTGCTGAGCAGGGGATAATGAGTAACGTGAGAGAAAGATGCTCAAGATGCTACTCAGCTTCAAGAACTTCTT